GATAGATTAGGTTTTCTGTCCTTTTTCTTCTCTTGCAAAAACAAAACGTTGAATTTCAAGTTATCGATTCAAAGACCAACGATGCCAGTACATAGGAAGTCGCACAGACGTCACATGGAGTCCTGTTAACATCTTGGACTCGGACCGAAAACTGAACTTTTTGTCGAAACGGGACCAAAATAGGACGTCCACAGAACGTCCATCGAAGGACATCCTAGTGTTCACGATAATCGGAAGTCCAGTGGATGTCCGATTTAGGACCCGGACCAACAAGAAGGAACCAAATCAGGACGTCCATGGCAAAGAAGTAGTAAAGCTGCAACCTCTACGCCTGTCCCCAGGATATAAAATTTCGGAAGTCTATACACTATATATTTTTGATTCTGGAAGAGAATTAATATATATGGCAAACACGAGTTATTAAGATTTTTGGAACGAAAAACCTGCTGGATAGCTGATCGGACTTTAAAAGAAGTTTCAGAGTTGTTCTTTTAACTGTATAGCATCCGCGGCTAAGAAGATAATACTTCGTGGCCTTGCGTTCTAGCATTATTAACTGAAAAACAAGAAATATACACAAGGATGCTTAGGACTTTAAAGAATTTAATACCAGAAGTAGCCCCGACACGAATTCTCACTGATTTCGAGGTGGCTGCAATGAACTTCTTCCAAACAGTATTTCCCAGGGCCCAAATATCTACCTCAGGCCGTTTTAAAAAAAGTTGGGAAGTCGGCTTAAAAAATATGTATGATAAGCAACACAGATGTCCTAGCAACAAATATAAAAATGTTATGAGCCTTATCGCTGTTTCCGGTGGACGAAGTTGAAGATACATTTATTGAAGTGACAGTCACAAAACCGCCAGGATATAGAAGAATGAATCACCTATTTTGAAGGGTAAGTTATTCGTAGTCGCAAGCTACGTACAGGAAGAAAAAGAGAAGCTATGTTTCCCAATCAAATGTGGAATCAGTGGGAATCGGCTGCTGAAGGATTAGCTAGAACTAAGAATTGCGTTGAAGGAAGGCTTGCAATCACTATTTCAATGTGCGCATCCTACAATGTGGAATTTTTTTAACGGCCTGGCCAAAGAAACACTTGCATATATCTGGACAACGCATTCCTATGAAAAATGAGTACAAATGATTGACTATTATGATACGAAAAATAAACTAACTTTCCTTAGAGCAGTGTTATATTTATTTTAATTTATTTATTGTGTTATATTTTATGTATTTTATATAAAAAAGTTGTAAAAAGAAATTAACTTTCCTTAGAGCAGTGTCATATTTACTTTAATTTATTTAATGTGTTATATTTTCTGTATTTTATATAAAAAAATAAAATTGTGAAAAAATGGAAAGAATACTAGATTTTGAATAAATATAGTTGAATTTTGGATATATAGATTATTACATAAAAGGTTAAAAATAAGTTATTTAATGTATTACATTTTCTATTATATATTAAAAAATAAAAATATTTTCAAATGAATGTGATGAAATTGTATGTGATTAATTTGTGAAGTGATGAATTGTATAAATATATAATTATATAAATAGCCGCGATTTTGTCGACAGATATTAAGTTTAAAATTAAGTGTTTGATAGAGAAGACAAATTGTAATAAATAAATTAGAATTGTGAGTTGTAATAGTGCCTAAGTATTATATAAATTAACTAGTTGGTTATAAATAAATTGCAAATAAAGTGTTTTAACTAAATAAACTATAAATATATTAAACAAACATTACATAAATTTTCTATAACCAATGCTTTTAAGATTTGTAAGAAAAGTAATTCAGGATAAATATTTAAAAAATAATGTTAATTTTCAAAAAATGTGTTTTAATTTTGCAAACAAAGAATTGCTGGTTGTTTATTTAGAGCTACCATCAATTGGTCTATTGAAATGTGCTATTATTATATCAATATACATATTACGTATGTATAGGAAATATTTTTTTATTTTCAAATAACATATACAACCATAATAATTCAATTAACTCTCCATAAGATAGCTAAATTACATAGTAAATAATTATATTTTTAGATATTCATTTTAGTCCGATATCTTATCAAATATTTTGTTCACAAGCGAATGAAATAGAATAGTGCATATGAATGAATTTTAACTATACATATTTACAATATTTGACCTTAGTCGTTGTTGCAGACCGTCTAGATTAATATATGTCTTAGTCGTACGAAATATTTACAAATGTATCACTTTCGAAGTCGAAAAACAAATATTTTCAATTTTATCAATAAACATAAGTCAAGCAAATCACAGAGGCTCCATCAATTAATACCAGTTAACACGTAAAGCGCAACTATAAGAATCACCTGATACAACACACCACTTAAATAATCAGCTGCCACCAGAGCTGGGCAAGTACTCGAATACTTTTACTCGTATTTCGATTACGAGTAGAATAACTACTCGTAATTTTTACTTATAAGTATTTTTTATTTTAAGTACTTATTACTCGTACTTACAAGTAAATTTAAATCTACTCATAGAATGTACTTGTAAAATACGAGTATTATTTTACGAGTAGTCGGCATTTTTTGATCATCGCATGTTAACCGCCAGTCGCTACTATTGATCGCCAGTATCACGACACGAAACGGCCTCGGTTGCGTTCGGGCTGCGATCTCTGATTTGGGTTGGGAATTAGGCATTCCAAACAAATGAATTGCCAGTGGGAAGGTTTGGTATATCTAAGGGTGGCGACATACGGTGTATTCTATCTACTTTACGTAAAATCGTGAATAATGGATTACATTTAAATATTTTATGTCAAACACAATAAAAATAATATTTAAAAAACTTACCTATACATTTCTTCATAAATTGGCAGGCTTGGCGACTACTACTTCGAATAAAAATAGCGTCCAAGTTGCAAGACTATGTCGCTACCTCCTTAGATATACAAGAATATCCCACTGGCACATATTGTTTGACAGGTCGTTGGAATGCCTGGACGTTTTATTATTTTTGGTGTTTTGTGGTGGTGTGAATGTGTTTCCTACGAGAACAGTTAAATATTAAACGTCTTTAGTCTCCATTCACAATCTTCGTTAATTTGAATAAGGATAATTTCCTGGTCATAGCAGAATTTTATATAAATAAAAAGTTCCTTGGTTTATTCGGTCATTAATTTTATTTTCTATTGTAAGCACAGCACTATATACATTTCGAAAAACTTTCTTTTCATCTTCGGGTGCAGTCAAAATTTAATTTTTTTTTTTTAAACACATGGGGACGATTACAGTTTAAAAATTTTTAAAATAACAGAAACCCCATCTTTCTGTTTCAGTGTGTGAAGGCGCATTCGAAATAATATTGATTTGTTTTAACACGATAACGATAAAGTAGGGAAACAAAAAGATGATTTTTTACAAAGTGAAAAATTACCAGTTTTAAAAAACTGTATTTAATTGTTTACTGTCAAATTGACCATGTTTGTTTTATTTATATTCTAAACAAAGTTTTTGTATTTTATTTATTTTAGAATAGTTTTTTGTTTTTGTTTAGGTAAATAAAGACTATTTTTATTTAAAAATTATAGTTGTTTTTCTTTGTTTTTTTTATAGTCTATTTAATTATTAGGTTAATTTTGTGAAACTACTCGTACTCTTTACTCGTATTTTCACGATTACTACTCGTATCCGTAAACTATTTCTATTCGCGATTCAAGCTAAGTGATACGCCCTCTGGAGGAAATTAGTAAAAGGTCCCTATAAGTAGGATGACGTTCAGTGTTGCCAGAAGCAGCAAAATTTCGTTACGTCGTCGGATTTTAGTTTTTGAAGAAATGGATAAGACCTTTTATTTAAGAATCAAAATTTGTGTCTAGTAATATGTAATCATACTATTTATTTAAGGATTTTTTTATAAAATCGATTTATTATATTGATTTTTTTTTTAAATATCAGTTCATTTATTAATTTTAGTTTTAAAATCAGTCAGAGACAAAATCAGTTCATCATTTGGCAACATTGGCGTTCGTGTTCATTGTTTACATTTTAATTTGTATCAATTACAATTAGAGTTTTTTGTTACTTTTTAGCTTTAAATTTGTTTATTTCTTATAGTATGTGATAGTATTTAAATTAAAAATGAAATCTGCGAAAAAGCCTCCAGCAAATTGCAATTTGTATGGTGTTATTGTCAAAATCAAAACTGGAGTATTCATTATTTTTCAAGTGCAAGTCATAAAATTCTGTTTCTTACGATAAATGGGTATCTATAAATTCACAATATTGAAATTTTGCAAAACGTTGTTTAGAATCAAACTCCAATATGAGTTGTGACGGTTTTATTACCATTTACATGTATACAAAGTACTACACAATTCACTTCATGATATAAGAATAAGGATAGTAAGATTTTTAAAGAAGTTCATCAATAATAAACGTTTGGTACCTGATATGTCCTTTAAACCACATAATAAAACATGTCCTGGGTCTAGTAAATACATATTTCTAGATGTTCTTGTAGCACCCAATAGGTCAATATTTCCAACAAATTAGTTCGTACTACACATGAAAAATTACATTTATAACGAAAGCACGAAAACTAAACTTAAAATAACACTAAATGAAACTCAAAAACACTATTATAATAAGAATATTATCTAAAAACAGTTAAAAAATCACAAATACAAAATCCCACAACACGTAAATAAACAAACATCCTACTTATACGTGACAAATGACAGGCGCGCGAAAATTAATTTGAATCGCGAATAAAAGTACTTACGAATAAAATACTTATAAATACAATTTTCGAGTACTCGTACTCGTACAATTTACGAGTATTTTATTCAGTACTCGTGCCCAGCTCTGGCTGCCACCTATGGAATCCATTTAAAATCCCTTTAAATCCCATTAAATTAGAGTGTAGCTCTCTCTCTCTCTCTCTTGATTTTAGTTTCTCCATCTGACTGTCATCTCCTGTTATTTCTACTCTGTACATTAACTTTAAATTTTAGTTCAGCACTTTGACATCTTAACTGAATCGGACAAAATTATACTGGAGCCAAACGCATTTGCAACAGTCATTATTGGATTCGGTTTGGAAAGCGGTCTGAACCAGAGAAAAGAAGAAATCAAACATAAAAGACTTGTTGGGAGAATTAGAGGCATTTCTAAGTTCAATACTGGAGATAACACGTATTACGTGGCGAAGTACAATTGCAAAATCGGAAATATTTTTATCAAAGATTTTATTTTTGTAGGTTGTTTTAAATAAAGTTTTAAAAACAAATGGGGTTTTTAATTTTATATGGATTAGTAGTAGTTGAGTTTTTTTGAAACAGCAGAGGAATTCTCATCTTTCGATACGATAACTGTTCAAGACGCCTATCTTCGTTCGACAGACTGCGATTCTTAAGTAATATCTCTCTCTATTCGTTCTACTCAACACATATGTGTCGAGTCCCATCTATTGTCCCATTTCCTGTAAAAGGTAAAATAACTATAGCGTCTGGCTGGCAGGTGAACTTGGTTCCCAAAGTGAAAACATTTGTATAGTAATCACAGACATCCGTCTTTTTATTTCATTTCATGATATGCATCAATTAAGGTTTGTAGAAAAGACTTTTCGTTTCAATTTGAGCTGTGTCCAGGCCGTTGGAGTCTATACGCCTGTCGGCGCGTAGCCAGGTGTGCGTTAAAAATTTCTGGTAGCTGCTAAGCCACCATACAAAAAGGCGTTGTTTCGTCTTTTTGTTGTATATTTTCTTATAATTAGATGCACCTAACGAAGACACGTTCGTTAAGGGAGCCAGGTTCACGGGTCGGCCAGGCGCTAGTAGGTAAAAGATGTGTTTTTTTCTCGTAGTTGGAAGCGGGCCGCTATACAGTGTCCTACCCTCTTCGGCCGCACTGGAGGTATCAGAGATCGGGTCTGAGGGGATGGGATGGGAGGATTGGTGGTAGGTATCTATGAGGATGTTACCGATTCAGTATTTACCTATTTGTAAGGAGTTTATGGATAATTTGTCTTAAATCTTAATAAAAATGATTCACCAAATTGACTTCTGATAAAAAAATTTATTTTCATATTAAGTCAATGTGACAATACCAAAAAACATATACCGGGTGAGAAACTATCTTTAACATCCTCCCTCCTTTTATTGTAACAAAAATAAAACCTTTTCTGGTGATGGTAACTCGTTTATCTGCAACTTGAGGAACATCTATCTACTTGATCAGCATCTTCTTGAGGAGCATCTACTAGATGAACATCTTCTTGGAGAATATCTTCTTGAGTTGCAAAATTATTTTTCTTCTGTCTTTCATCACTTGTCAGTCATTCTCTATCTTCCAGTGCGTTTAATTCCATCGGGTATAATCTTTGAAATGGTCGTATAATTTCGCTGTGTGCTGTCTTAATCTTAGCCACTCTAAATTTTCCATCCTTTCCGGGAATAACTTCCACAATCTTTCCTAAGGGCTAATCAATTCTCTTAGTATTATCGGATCCCACTAATACGATATCGCCAACCTTTAACAAAGTGGCGTTCCGTTGACCAAATTGCACTAATTCCGCTAGGTACTCTTTTTGTAAATATACATCTACTAACTAAATGGTGTCGATCGATGGTGTCTAAATCTATAGTTTCGTTTGTAGATAATCCTTGGAGAAACATTACAGGTCTAAGTGGTAACAGATCTTCTATATTTTCCGATACATAAGTCAATGGTCTGTTATTTATCATTGCTTCCACATCGCATAATAGAGTTACAAGTTCTTCATATTCTAATGATTGTTTTCCTAAGTTTCTTTTTAATAGCTCTTTTACCATTTAAATCTTTTCCCAATCTATTTGTTTCGGCAAATTTTGAGCACCAACAAAATTAGTCCCGTTATCTGAATAAATGACTGTTATTCTTCCTCTTCTGGCAATAAACCTCCTCAAAGCTAAAATAAAGCTGTCAGTTGAAAGAGATTTAATTAATTCTAGATGGATAGCCCTATATACGGCACAAGTGAATAAAACGATCCACACCTTCTGTCCACCTTTTAAATATAATGGCCCTGCTAGATCAACAGTAGAGTTTTCGAAGGCCGCTATACTACTCACTCTTTCTCTAGGTAGAGGTGCAAATGGTACCTCTGCATATTTTGCTTTAAATCTCTTGCATTTTATGCATCTTGAAATTACTTCTTTTACTGTTCTTCGTCCTTTGATTATCCAATATTTTTCTCTTAAAATGCACAGCAATGTTTGAATTCCAATATGGTTATTTACGTTATGTTGTTCTAAAATTAATCTTTTAACAATAATATGTTTATTTGGTAACAAAATAGGATATTTAAAGTCCTCGGATGTATCTGCAAATCTTAATCTTGACTTTAGTCTTAAAATTCTCTTTTCATCTTCAAATATTTGTAAATTTTTTAAATCTCTGTTTTCAAAACTTTCTTTTTGGATCATCTTTATTATGTTGTATTCAGCTTCTTCAACTTCATCGTACGTTAACTCTCCACTCTTCACCTTTTTCTTTGAAGAATTATAATAGAAGCGGTATATCCAAGCTAGCATTCTTATAATCATACTGTATTTTGAAAAATGCTCAAAATTTTTTGTTATTCTTTCTTTATCAAGACTTACATATGTAGCTATTTCTTTTCCTTTTCTTGAGTAATTTCTTTTTCTTCTTCTGGGTGTATAATAATCTCTTTATGTGGCCAATTCTCCGAGTTCTGTTTTAACCACTCTGGCCCATTCCACCAGGTATTCTCCATTAAGCTTTTAACAGTACAACCACTAGTTAAAATATCAGCAGGATTCATGCTGCCAGGAACGTGTCTCCACTGTTCAGTGTTTGAATAATCATTAATTTCATTCACTCTATTCTGTACAAATGGTTTCCAATTACCTCGTGTCTTTATCCAGGTTAGACTCACCATAGAATCGCCCCAGTAAAATACAGACAAATTTGAAAATTCTCTTACTTTTCTAATATTCTGGCATAATCTAATCCCAATAAGACAGCTAAGTAACTCTAATCTTGGAATCGTAATATTCTTTGGGGACAATCTTGATTTTGCCTGAATCAATTGCAAAATGATATTATCATTAAATTTTGTTCTCAAAAATATACAGGAAGCAAAGGCTAATTTACTTGAATCGCAAAAAACATGAATTGTAGGTGTATTAAGTGTCGAATTGATCAATAAACGTCTAGGAATCATGCATAATTTAAGAAAGTTAATTTCTTTCATCCAATTTTCAAATTTCTTGATAATATCCCCAGGCAGTTCCTTGTCCCAACCAATTCCTAATGACCAGGTTTCTTGCAACAATAATTTTGGAACCAAGGTGATGGGATGAGTAAACACAATAGGATCGAATATTCTCTGAGCTGCTGAAAGTAATCCTCTTTTGGTCCTAGGAGTATCCGTTATTTGACTAATCATACTTGTGTCGCACATCAATACATCCTTTTTAGCATTCCATACTATTCCTAATACTGAACAATATTCATCTGAATAATTATTATCGATGCTATCTAAACTATGCCTCCATTCCCTGAGATTAAATTTTCCTAATGACATTAATTCTTTTGATTCTCTTATGAATTTTTCCAATTCTTCTGATGTGTTAACACTTGTGACACAATTGTCAACGTAAAACGATTCTTGCAATTTTCTTGCTGTTTGCTTTAAATGAATTGGAGAATTCATTAAATGGTAATTAATTGTTGCACCTAACAAAAAAGGACTTGATTTTAGGCCAAAAACTACCCTCAGTGTCTATATATTTTCTTTTTTCCAAGTGGGTAGTTTTCCCACCAAAAAAATCTTAAATGGTCTCTATCTTTAGGAGTGACACTAATTTGTAAGAAAGCCTTTTCAATGTCGGCTGTAACCCCTATTAAACCTATTCTAAACTTTTATATGAGTGAGGGAATGAGTTCTAATAAATTAGGTCCTTTCTGTAAACAGTAATTCAATCTTTAGCTGACGCATCGAACACTGGACGAATCTTCGTTGTTTGGCTGGATTCCTTCAGTACAGCATGATGAGCTAGATAGTGGATATCTTCACATGTAATACTTGGGACTATTTCTATAATTCCTAATGCTTCCCTTCCCATTCCTCCAAAACTCTTTCATAATCTTTAAATCTATTAATTGCAATCAATTTTTTACTGGTAGATTGCAGTCTAGAGACTGCTAATTCTTCATTGCTTAAAACCATCACATTATCATCAATCCATGGAAGATGAATTTCATATCTTCCTTCTTGATTAATTACTATTTGCTCATTGAATAATTTCAAAGTATCTTCCTCCATGCAATGTTTACCTTTTACTTCGGATGGATCTGATATACCTAAAAGTTCTAAATTCCATAAATCAGGTATGGAAAAACTACTAACACCAGAAAAAATTGTATTTGTACAGTTACAATTCTGACCCATAATTGTCCACCCAAGGTAAGTCTCAACAGCTACAAGAGCATCTTCTAAACTTTCTATTTTTCCAGTTAATAATTTTCCAAAAATATCTGCCCCTAGTAATAATTCAATTTCTGGCGAGCAGTTATTCATATCTGTATCATTTATTAAAATATTCTTACGTTTTAAATAATCTAAGTAATTTTGATTGTTTATTCTAGGAATATGATTGCAAATTTTTTCTTGATCTAAAACTGCTAAATTGACTTTAAAACTTCTATCTAAATTTTGGATATGTAGGTCATAGACTCCATGTATTTTTGGTAACGTTTGATTGCCTCCAAAAACATTTTGTATTATTACCTCCTATTTTTAATCAAACCTAATTCTTTAGCGGATTTAGATAAAATATATGATCTTTGTGAACCAGAGTCTAACAGTGTGCGAATAACTTTCTCTTTTCCATTGTTTATTAATCTTACCAAAACGGTTTGTAAAAAGGTACCGCTTTGTATGTTACTTGTTAAAGTATTTTCAACATTTCGAGATTCGAAAGAAACGGTAGCATGATGAGTATCTTTTTTCTCTACTAGATTAGGGCACATTATAGGAAAGTGTTTTCTGGAACAAACTATACAACGAACGAAATATTTACAAAATTTACTAGTATGATTTACTTTTAAACAGCTGAAGCATGCCTTTCTAGCCATAACTTTAGATTTTCTATCTTCTAAAGAAATGTTCTGCGCTTTCAAACAATTTTGACTTAGATGTGAATTCGAATTACAAAATAAACAACTCACAGGTTTGTTAGTTTGAAAATTACTTGTAT